ATTTTACTGAGACGTGGTTGAGTAACGGAACGTCTGCAGAGCCCCCTTACAAAGCAATATCAAATTGATTCAGGAAGCTGTCCTGTGCCCATACTCAGTTTCCACATACATTCATTATCTTGTTCCTGCACCTGTATAGAAAAAATGCGCTTGTTGGTGAACTACCCTGACCCGTTTTGTCAGCGTACGGTCTAAGTCCACGCATCAATAATCTGTCTCAATTCCCAGAATTCTCCGACCTAACCCAGTTCAAAGTTAAAGTCCTAGGAAGGTTGTTGAATGTTTATGTAGTTTATGCACTAATCTTTGTCCAAGGACCTCAACATGACATAACCCTTTGTCTTCTAGAGTGAACACCGTGGAATTTCTTGGTGCCACCATAGATGGTTATCAAACAACTTAAATCCACAAAGTTATTGGTAAACTTCGGTGCTTACGATTTCAAACTTGGAAACGCAAACAGTTTCCAAATACGCAACCAGTGACTTTAACTTTTGTGTGCCACTTTTATTCTCCCGCCTTAACCAAGCAAAATTCTAACGTTTCCTGTTACGGTCCAACGAATATTAGGCGTGTTTCTTTAATTATTTCTCAACGATTTATTTCAGAAAGTTTCCAACGATCACGCAGCTTCTTGTACAAACTTTGCCCAAGCAATCCTGCCACGCCATAGCCACCAATTGCATGCCGCTATTGTCCTTCCCTATCTAAGAGCTAAGTTATGGTATACACTATATTGCATAACGTGTGCCGAGGTTCGTTTTTTGCCACAATATTTACATCCGCTGGCCCAAGAACAAGGGGAGACCACATGTGGAGTACCCCTCAAACGTGAACCAAGCGTTTGCCCCACTGTTTTGTGGAATGTTTCGAGTGTGAAGTTTGGCAAGTGAATTTTTCAACCGAAACATAAACGCTGGTGCTTTTAAACAGTACAGATAAAATAATATAACGCAATTTCGATCTGTCTTGACAAAGTTATCGTTTATCAACAGTTGTCCTAGTATTATTACCCGGTGAATGCACATTGTGATTACAAAAAGACAATACACATGGATACAAGTTATCGCGCGGGGCAGTCTGATACACAGATGAGAGAATGGAACAGATTGCCGGTTTTCGATCGTTCTGATTTTAGTCCAGACGGATGTAGTTAGTAGATGATGCTGAGGTGGTAACGTGTTTCCTCGTCCAGGTGAGTGATATAAATGCACATAACACATCTGTATCCGCCGCGGTTTGGGATCCTGATACCACGGATCAAAGAGATTTACAATAAATCCAAATGGGTCTATACGTGGGTTTACTCCAATGTCTTTGGGAGAAGCGCATAACGATAACAAATTCGATGGTGACATCCGTTTTTTTTCGGATGTCGAAGCCTCTTCATTTGTCGATTGACTACCAGTCAGTGGCTTAGGAATTGCGAAATTGATCTTTGGGGGTGAGTGGAGTGATCAGATAACGTTGCGCAGTCAGTTTGCGACCACCATTGCATAATGAAACAAAAAAAATGACTACTGACTGTACATATCACGGATAACGCGGTACAATGATACTGATTCCAGTTCGACCGGGGTTCAAAGTGCCATTTCCGTTTGGTTGACCGAAACCCGAGATTGACGTATTTTCATGGTGGTCCACAAACGTGAACTTTCCTTCCGGAAACGTTTACTCATGAAAAGATAGATAACCACATTTGCACACGAATCCAATACCACCAACGCTTTGAGTGCGTTCGTAATTAATCGATACTGAGCATGGGGAATGGATGCTCGGAAAACAATACAGAAAAATATCGGCGCTTCGAATAGAATGAAAGCGGCCGCGAGCAGTGTGATCATACGTGTGGCTCGAAGCTGGTTATGTGTACGTCGATAATTGATCTGGCTTTTGGCGCACATTTGTGTCTGTCGTACACCGATTGAATAACGAAGTTGACTGGCAGAACAAGCAATCCGTTTTGTTGTCTGATGATGATGGTGATGGCCGGTTGCACTAGACACGGAAGAGGACAACACAGGAGACGNAGAATTCATGTTGTTTGGATTGTTTGACATAATGATCCCATTCCCGTTCGCACCACTACCGTTCGTACCAGCTCCACCACCTGTCGGGCAAACAGCAATCACAGTGCCCACCGGTGTAGTTGTTGTGCTCTGTGTTCCCGGACCATGATTGTCCAATCGGAATGTTTTATTACGTAATAGGACAGTGATCATAATCATTGTGGTAATCAGTACAATAGATATGGGCATAGCGGATTGATAGATAAAAAAGATCTCGTTCACCGGACGCCAGCCTGAATTCGGTGCTAGACGAATTGTGTCGCCCAAATTCTCACAGACCACAATTTTTTGCTCAAACAGACGAAGTAGGCTGAGCAGAAATCCGGTCACAATACACAACACTGTACAGACTCCCAGCGAACGCGGACGGAACAGATGTGTGGACATGAGACGAGTGGCCATCGGTCTGGTAATGGCTATACACCGGGCCAGAGCAATCAGAGTGATAATCCAATTCCGTGCGCACAAAGCCCCGTTGATGAAGAAAAAACAAACAATTGTGAATGCCATTGTGGACGCCTCTTGTCCATCCCCGGTCAGGGTGCTTACTGTGAACATGAATATCATCGCGTTCAAGAGGGTTTCGAAAGCGGTCAAAGTGGTCAAATTGATACGCATTGAGCCCAGTTGGACCGCTCGACGTCGGGTGAGAACAATCAAGGCAAAAGTGCTCATTGCAAGCGCGATGGGACTGACAGAAACGATGAAGATGTTGACAGCTTGCATATTTGGAGCACCCTTGTCCGGGGTGACGGGAACAGGGCATGACTGGTTCCGGATGACCAGAGGCATGATTTCACGAATCAGTCTGAAACGAACATTGTCCGTATGAGTCGATTTCCTCGTGTGTATGGGATTGCAAGTTGAACCGGAAATTCGGAACTGCTTCAGCCAGCAAAAGTACTGTGATTGGTTGACAACTATTTGTGAATTAACCAATCGCAAGCCAGCGTGTACTGTGAGGGAATGAACCAATGGCGCTTCATAAAACCAGAGGCTGAAGCAATTCAGTTAAGGGCTTGGACACCACTGTGTGGCAGTCATAGAAGTGAAGTCGCCAGCATGTTGCACAGATTTTGTTTGTGAACTACATATTTATTCGGCTATTACAAACCTAAAATCGATGAAGACCTTGCTAAATTCAACAGCAGACAACACGTGGTTATTGTTACATCGTTCGCACTCGTTGCCGATAAGATCTTAAAATATTGCCTTACTAGCAAAAATATATAACGTTACTGAGTTAAAACACAATATATCGATAGTTGACTAATCCTCGTTTCAATGAAAATGTGTTTCTTCTCATTGACAATTAGCACACTACTATTGCAAAGCACTTTGTAACATCTAAGAAAATATAAAATACGTTGATGAATACATTACGCAGTAATAAATAGATCATACGCAAAGCTAGGTACGTCTACAAGTATGAAAATAAGGAGAGTGCAAGGAAAAACTTAGTTACCAAAAGTAGTTGCACTGACTAGCCTCTCTCGTTGTTCACACAGTTTGGAATAGGGACTGGAGGTACCTAGTACGTCGAAAGATTCCACCAATTTCTATTTAAGGTGAAGACGCAGAATTTGAAGCCTGTTTCTGGGATATACATAATGGTACACTGTAATTGATTTGACTGGAATGTGCAACTGTCTCTCGATTGTACCAATTTAGAGAATTGAACACCAACCTTAGGGAAGTAAAATGGATTTTGAGTTGGAGAGAAATCACTGCTGAAACTAGTGTAAGCACCCGTTCATTCAAACTCAACAAAAATGTCTTAAAACTGGACATAGCCAATCAACCAATTTCCCCCATCTTTCTTGCTTATTAACGTTTTACATCCCCCCCATGTTTCCTATTCCGTAGCCCAGTCAACTTTAATTATCAGTTTACTCCGTTATTTATTTGTTAGTTCAAACAATTAGATTAGTCACGACATGCGTGTGTTCATTTTCAATGAAACGAATCAGAATACCCATCCTGAAATGGAACATCCTCGGCGTTTTGTCTTTTTTTTGGTGATGGAATTATTCTACCCCATTGTGATTTGTGAATGATGCTTGGAAGATGTAACATTCAGTTCGTTTAAATCACACACACACACACACAGTCTGTTTTGTGAACATTAAGGAGATTGGCAAATGACCTTGTTTGCCGGAAGACAAAATCACGTGAATTGTGTCCGGGTGGATCTTTCACTCGAGGTAGGCTAAGGTTGAGAATATTCACGGATGGGGGAAACAGAGGAAGTTTTATGAAATTTTTGTGAAAGGCAAAATGATCCCAAAGCGATCGGATGCGTGGTTATGGGAATTGACGGTAACAGTTTCAACGTAGGCATACACATTGTCCGTATGCTCAGTTACAGAGTGAGAGAGAGAGCGTTAGAGAGTGGCTTGCACTGGAGATGAATCCCAACTGCTTCGATCTGGTTGGCAAAATCCAGGAGAACGGATGAATGGAGTGAATGATGAATGGATTGGAAACTAACTTACAAACTGTCCTCATTTAATGACATCATAATAATGTGTAGACCTTTTAATTTCTGCTATTTCAGTTTACTTCAATTTTAGTGAATAGAATTTTCAGGAGGAGGAAGGAGAGGACCAATCAGAGGGCTGTCATAAACACACACACACGCACACACACAGAAGATGAATAAAGCTGTACACCCCCGACTTTCATCAGATTTGTTCTCATCAACGCTTAGTGTTTCGAATCTCATTCACTGGACTGAATATGGTATATGATATTGTTCCACATCAGACGCAACCGATTTTTCATATATTATCCACGCTACTTTGCATAAAATATTTTCAATTTTTAGCTAGAACTTTAAAAATACCACGAATTCTATCGTGCGACTCAAGGATGCATAAATTCAGATGCTGATACGTAGAGAGTTAAGAACATTGTGTGTGGGGATGGGACGTGCAACATATATACACTTCATTCATAGCTATCGACAAACACGTTGCTTCATGGATTGGTACTTCTAAAATACAAACCATAAAGTATTTCCATTTACAACAATATTCATCTGTAGTTGAAGAATTTTGACAGTTTAACAGACTCGTAAGCCAGGAAGTGCAACGAGGTGGTGGGGTTCGAACACACAAGATGTGAAACACTCTTGTAATCAGTGCTCTATGTTGGATGACAGACAAATGGGTACAGACAGAAGTCACATCGGGAAACCGAGTTACTGATTTTGTTCGACCACTTAATACGAACAAATGAAGCACGGTTCATGCAATTTGCTTGAGTTGTCTGGAATGCAGCTAACTGATATCAGGATGGAGAGATGGAGCTGTTCATATAAAGCTATCAGACTCACTTCAGTCGACTATCGTCCGTTTGCCGCCAACAGTGTTTTAGCGTCGACCGACGGGACAACCTTCTATACTTCTCCCTAAATTCAACCATTTCTAACTACCCGCAGAAAATTTGACTGCTTTTCCTCAGATATCTGTGTCTGATCCCATAACATGGCTTTAAGTATCGTTTTAGATTAGAATCGTTCATCATTTACAATTTCCAGAAGATCAATGGGCGATGATGACCCGGTGGTAACGTCACCGGTTATCATCCAAGAAGACCTGTGTTCGAATCTCATCACTACCTACTGTCATTCCCCATTATGTGTGTTTTATAGCAGCCCTTTAATTGACCGCTGCCCCCTTCCTGAAAATTGTATCTTTGTATAAAAACCATCTAGGGAATTTTCAGTTAACATCAAGTTGCAGCTTGTTTTCTTCGGACGAAAAGCCACTTGGTGTTATATCATAATATATCACAAAGTTTCAGAAAAAAACAAAACAAATTTACCGAAATTCCCCCATATTGTTTGTGTCTGATGACTCTTGGCGTTCACTGCGTTATAACTTTGGGCATCTGCCTTGTTTGTGTGTGTGTGTTTGCGTACTACCGGTTTGCTAGAAAATATAACCGTTCTCAATAATGACTTCGGTAGTTCGTTTCACTACGAATCGTAGTAGGGTGTTAGTCTGTAATCACATTTATGTATATCCAAAAAGTTGAGCCTTTTTTGCGTATCCTATTATTATTATTATTATTATTATTATTATTATTATTATTGTATCTCACTGTATTCCGACTGATAGGACTTTTAATTTAAACAGGTATTACTTGCGTAATGTGTGATGCACAAAATCGCAACGGTTTGCTTTCATCAAAACGGACTTGTTTTCCTGCATGTTTTCCTTTTGCCCACTTCTGATTTGACAGTGGAGGAAATTCAGAAAACCATGGAAGGCCACATTTCTATCGAGAACCAGTTTGCCTCACTGTTCAATTTTTCGTAAGGGAAGGGAGACCTATCTGAAAATACGTATGCACATGCACAGACACACACACACAAACGAATAACTGTTCGGTAATTCAATTACACAAAACAATGATGATTATAAATAGGGGGAGAGAACCGCATAATCAACACACACACACACACCTGACCTGGTAACACACGAGGAACGAAGTGAAAGAGAACGCTCTATACGCACGTTTTGAAGCATGAAACCAACAAATGATATTGCTTGGCACCAAGAATTGATGAAGCCGTGTGGTTTTATTCCCTCTAATGACTTCATTGAGAACGATTAGGAATTTGTAGATAATCTTGATTTAGAAAAGAAAAAATGGATTTAAACAGCGAAACAGTTTATGAATAAAAGTTTCATGAAACCAGTCGGATTGAATAAAAAATTGTACTACAAAGTGAGGAAGTGTGCTCCATTGTCTATCTCTTTTCCCACTCGTCTTAACACGCCAGCTGGCTATCGAATTATTATAGTATATATTCAAATTAACATAAAACCAGAATGTGTATGTGTGACGAAGGGAAAGAGACCCGTGAACCAACGTAGAGCAAGCTTCCTCGATCCGTTTGGTAGCTTGCTGAACTCTCCCTATTTGGCACGAGGGAAATTGAACGAAACATCATTGAGTTATGTTTGCACTACCGGGTAATAGTATAGGAACAAAATAATGTACGATTGGGAGTAGACAATTCCGTGATCACATTAAAAATTATCGATGACTGGTACATGAACTTGAGAATACGAAAGTAAAGTAGTGAAAGTTTGGCAACGCATGCCTGAATTTCCACAGAAGCTTAGTGTAATGGTGGTTGGTTTCAACTGTCATTCAACCGTCCGGAACTGTTGCTCTGTATCCCAACCCACCTGCCTCATGTCATTTTTA